GATTCCATTTCACTGATGGGAATAACGTGATTCCATTTCACTGATGGGAATAACGTGATTCCATTTCACTGTGCTGCTTTCTGTTATTCCAGGATCCAGGGTTCCAGTGCGTCACACCTCCAAAAGAGGCGTGGCCTTTTGGCTCGTTTGCTCCCGGGTCACTTCTGCAGGACAAACAGCAAATGAATAAAACATCATTAAAACAAGTGAGACTCGTGGGAGTTGTTGTTGTGGAAGAATACGACGCCGCCTTACTTTAGACACATCCGTCTCTGTGCTGCCTGCCTCTGAATCAGCATCCTGTGGAACAGGACACATTTAGATCATGTCCAAACCACGCTGCTCATCGTGATGATGGCGCGATGAGGCTTAAAATAAAAGAACATGTGTTCTGGGAATCCATCCTACCTGGCAAACCATCCTACCCGTTGTTTCTGCGCATGCGCACAACACACAGTGGCAAATTGTCCTACCTTTGTGAATATCACCTACAAGCATACTTAAACTGCTACAATTTTGTGGCAAATCGTCCTACTTTTGTTCATCTGAGCTAGAAGCGTACTTTAATAGCTACATTTTAGTGGCGAACCATCCTACCTTTCTGAATATGAGCGTGAGGCGTACTTTAACAGCTAAAATCCAGTGGCAAATCATCCTACCCTTGTTAATAACAGCTACACACATACTCTGACGGGTAAAATTAACTGCCAAACCATGCTACCTTTGTGAATGTTACCTACAAGCACACTTTAACGAGTAAAATGAAGTGGCAGACCATCCTGGCTGTATGCATATGAGCTACAAGCACACTCTGATGGGCAAAGTTAAGTGCAAACCATCATACCTACTTAAATTGGTGCTGGAATTACTCTGTGACAGCAGAAATGTGCATAAACTACTCACGGTAGGACGTTTTGCCAAAGTAGGATGGTTTGTCAGAACACCTGCGCTACTGCACAGACTGCCTCCTACTCACTGTGGACCGGTCTTTGCCTTGAGCCTGTTTTGCATTTGCTTCAAGGGTGTAATAGACGTTCGTGTCTACACCAACCGACTCGCTGTCCTGCTGCAAAACAGAAGTTAAAGAGGAAAGCAGTCTGGGTGGGACTGACACAGAGTTCATCATCAGATAAACTGGCTGCTATACTAATCACAAACTCTGCGCTCACACACGTGAATGAACACAGCAATAACCTGATGGTAAGTGAAGGTTACGGCTTCCGTGTGAAGTGTGTAGCTGGAGTGGACGTGGAGAAGGAAAATAATCTCCAATGACTTTCTCTGATAGTTTGTCTGTGAAGGTTCTCAGTCATCCAGGTCATTGTAGTCTAAGGAGCTGCAAAGAAAAGCGTCTGGACTTCTTTAAGTTGCTTGAAGACGTTTCACCTTCATCCGAGAAGCTTCTTCAGTTCTAAGGTCAGATGGTGGAGAGTCCCAGATTTAAACCTAGTGGGAGTTTCCCCCCACAGAGGGACAAAAGGACCCCCTGATGATCCTCTAATTGACCTTAGAACTGAAGAAGCTTCTCGGATGAAGGTGAAACGTCTTCAAGCAACTTAAAGAAGTCCAGACGCTTTTCTTTGCAAGCTCCTTTGACCTCTGATAGTTTGGTTGAACACCTCTCTGCTGCCCTCTGCTGTTCAAAGAGAGCACAGACTCATTTGTGAAGCTTACCTGTACTTGTGTGTCCGTGTATTTGAACTTCATGTTCTTGTAAAATTCTCTTTTCGGTAGCAAATAGAGCAGCACCAAGTCACACACCACAGTCGCCTAAAAACAGGGAGAAAAAACAACTGCGTCATCTCCTGTTGGATTACAACACTGTGCAAAAGTCTCGAACCACCGAGTATTTTAAACCTTTGTCATTACCTACAAAGAGAACGCCTCTGCAGACTCTGGACACTCACTACAGCTACTTTTAGCTCCTGCCGTGTCACAACACATCAGCACAGCAGGAGCGCTGCGTGTTTGTGTGTCGCTGGCTGAAACCAGCAACCTGCCACACAAATGTGTAAACTACCACATTATGGAGCCTCAGACACTAGCTACTCACTAGTACGTGCAAACTAACGGAGCCACTGTTAGGCTTTTCCAGGGTTGGGTGGCTGATTGCTGAACCAGGTGTGCACTGGCACCTGAGGGAAAACTGGTGGCAGCTGAGATCAAGGAGGACAAAATAGTCCGCAGATATAAAGGCCTGCTTTGTCTGCAACACCAGGAACAAACGTACAGTTTGTTTAACTGAAACAAGTCTTTATTGTTCAACACAACCTGAACTCGTTTCTCCAGACTTTTTAAAGGACGTTCAAAGCTCTTCTCTGGATGTTATTTGTCCTGTTCTGTCAGGATGATCCCTGATCTGATGGTGTGTTTGTGTATGCAGGTATGCCTTTGCTGCATTGTGTTTGGGATCATTGTCACGCTGAAGCTGTCACCAATCAGAAGCTTTCCACTCTTTCTGCACCGCGGATCAAAATCAGATTTTTGTTTATCAGTTTTGACACGACCTCCAACACCACGACATAACCTGCACCATATTTAACCGTGGTATGTTTGGACACAGTCCCTGGAGTTAGGCGCCTCAGTCATTCATGTCAGTGTCCAAAGAGGCCTTTAGAAAACCTGGAGAACCACTTTAAAACTTAGAGCGGAGCCTGGTTCCTAAGAGGATCAAAAACAAGAGCTGACTTTTGCACGACGTGTGGAATATGTACGTAAATATTTCAGCTTTCAACATACCACTCCAAAGATTCCCACTCCAGAGCCGATGGCTGTGAAGGTCGGGATGATATCAAATTTCCGCGCCTGTGAAGAGCAGAGTCATATCAACTCCTTTGGATTCTTCTTCCAGAGACAAAAGCACATTCAAGATAAACGTGTTACTCACGAGTGACTGGACGATGATGTCAAACCTGATGCCAAACACTTTCAGAAGTGTTCTTTTCTGAATTTTGTCCTCCATGTAATG